GAAGCAGAAGAAAAAATCTTGCTGGGAATTGGGAACAGCGTGGAGGTGGCAGTGGGCAAAGAAAGGAAGACAGGGTTGAGTCCCAGGTCTGTGGAGACCCTCGGATCCATGGAACCTGGTGCCCTTCACCAGGGCTCTCGACAAGCAGGGTTTGAGGTCTCCCAGACGCTGAATGGTAGCTTTCCTCTCCCGGTTTGCTTAGGCTTCCAGGTTCTGACCCCTTTGCCCTGTGAGGACTTGAGCTTACCTTCCCCTCCCCGCAGTAACACGGCCAACACTTTCCCCTTCCCCCAAGGAGGCCAGTGCGCCCAGATGTGATCTTGCTTAGTCCTGTGCGACCTTTCTCTCAGCTTCCCTCTCCTTCCGCAGCATCCTCTACTGGTCTCTCTCTGGGGAAAAGGGAAGAGAAAGACAAGCATGCATGGCCAGGGGTAGATGGAGAAACACAGTGATTTAAAAAAAAAAAAAAAAGCCTCTAAGGAGGAGCCTACTATCATTGTTTTGGTAAATGACCAAATGACGTCTTGCCAGACTGCCTTTTAAATATTTATGCTTATACCCACAGATTTGTGCTGCTCTCCTTCGGTCGGAGAAGCTTCTTTTTGGAAGGTGACGCTTAAAGTGCTGCGCATGCGTGACTGTGAGTGCTGCTTGGGCCTAAATGGGATCTCTGGAGTCACACCTCTCTCTTCCATATGCTCCACCCAGGCTCAGGGAACGTCTCAGGAGAGGGGGCCAGGGGAACAAAATGTGAAAGCCGGAGGGTGGAGACCAGAGCCTGTCTTCTGGCATGGTGTGTCCGCGGCACTCATGAACTAAAAGCAGGTTAGGGCACTAGATCACGCCAGGCAAATTTTCAGAATGCATAGCAAAGAGGCTCATGAACTCTCCCACCCCTAAATGAGAAGCGATTGGTAGTTAATAGCTAGTGGGGATGGGAGCGTAATTTTTCTTTGTGAGTGCAGCCTCTGGTAGGTCGCCCACGTTCCTGGGCTTGGCCCCACACCTGAGCACGAATATGGTGACTTATTAAAAAGGGGGTGGGGCTTGAAGTTGGAGGGAGACATATTGTGGGTTAGGGGTCCAGGGGAAAAGGAGAGTAGATGTGATCAAGATACATTAGTTATATGTCCCAAATTTGTAAAGAACAAATGGAGTTGTTTGTTTTTGTTTTTTTTTTTCCAGAACAAGGAGTAGGGGCGCGTTCTACAAAGCATTTGTATCCTGACCGTTGAAGCACATCTGTTGAATCCCTGACATAACCTGTGAAGACCTCACTGCGCAGCATCTCACGGCACTCAAGACTCTTCTGGAACCCCAGGCCTCATGAGCAGTCAGCATCTGAACCAGCCCCCAGTGTGCCTGCGAAACTCTGACCCAACTCTGGACCATCCAGTGTCCTGTGGCTGTGCCCCAATGAAAAAACCATGTCAGGTGCCCAAGAAACCTACTTTGAAACCTACTTACCCAATTTATACCAACTGTGCTTCTGCTTGGCCGCCTGAGGCACACCCTTTCCTTGGTCTGGCCCTCTCGCCAGATGTTTGCACATTATTCTCTGCCTCAATGAAGCCAGATATCACTATATTCTCTATACCCAGGCCCTCAAGCCCCCGCTTGCTATGATGACTTGAGTTGGGATTTCAGCTGGCTGGTTTTTGGCTTTTTGTTCCCCTGTACAGGGAGAAAGGTCCCTTCTCTTCTGAGACAATGCAATGGTTTGGGCATGCCCTAAAAGTAAGAAGGACATATGAAGGTTCATGCTATACATATTGATGGTGGCTGCACCATCCCTGAGAAATGCCCCACTGTCCCCAAGCAGGCTTTCCATTCCACGGTTCACACCCCAACAGGCATCCAGTGTGTTCAGGACAGGGCTTAGGCTCTGGGCACCAGAAGCAAAAAGGCAGCTTACAGCTCCAACATCTTGAGAACCTAGAAGGTGAAGAGACTAAGAATCCAGCTTGGAAGGACTAGATCCTGCTTCTCCAATTCAGAGTCCTTCATCATTCAAACCCCAGCACCAACGTGATGCCAGGGATGAGAAAAGGAGTGAAACCCCTCAAGACACCTTCCTTGCCTAGGAGCAAGAAGGAGCAGCATCCACTATGGATCTACACTTAGAACGGATGTGCAGGCCTAAAGAGCTCAGAAATGGAGGCTTTGCTATGCTAAGAGATATGCAAAAGGAGGCAACTCAGGGGAGTAAGGGCTTGCCGCCCTGAGGCATACAGACAAGTACCTTTCTCCATTCTCACAGACTAGTTGCTGTGAGCCACACATTCATCCAGGTTTCTGATGCTGTGTGCCGTAGATTCTTTTCTACATAGCAATCCATGAGAAAGGATGGCAGACACCTTACTTAGAGGGGCAATTCGACAGCCACGGCCACCGAATCGCCAGTCTGATCTCCTCTGCCACCTCTTATCTTACCATTTATTTATTTGCTGTTACCTATTAGTCATGCGTATGAACATGTTTCACCTGCATGTGTATGTGTATAACGTGTGTGCAGGTGTTGCCCCGGAGGGCTGAAAGCACTGGATCCCCTGAAACTGGAGTTACAGACAGTTGTAATCCAACATGGGTGCTGGGAACTGAACCTGGGTCCCCTGGGTCTTCTGCAAGAGCAACAGTTGCCTTAACCACTGAGCCATCTCTCTAGTCCTGAATTTTACTTCTTTACTTCATGGAATCTACTCGTATTCTCCCAATCACATTGGGAATCCAGTTGTGAATTAACTTGACTTTAGCAGGCGCTCACCATTGTTTCTATCCTTCTCCCCCCACCCTCATCCCCCCTACATCCCCACCCCCACACCTTGCTGACTTTTCTTTCCTTTGTTGGCATCTGAGTGCCTGCTACAGAGCATGAGTGAACATGGTCCAAAAAGGGCAAAATAAAAATAGCCAATTGTCAATAACAGAGCGGGGAGAGTTTGTAAGGACAGAAAGGGCAGGCAGCGATTTACGGGCAGCTGGGATGGTGAGGGAGTCTGGTAGAAGCCTTCCAAGGCCCTGGGGTTGCTTTGAAACCATGTTGGTGGCTCTTCTGGGTTGGTGGAGACGGGGAGGAGGCCACAAGTCTTAGCCAGTGCCCAACCCGAGGGCACTGTTCACTAAAAACCGGGCACACTGTGTATTTGTGTGAGGTGAGGTACCTACTCACTAGGAACTTCCTCCAGCTGGCTGTTTACAGAACCACCAGCCCTGATGCCAGAGAGTCAAGCCCTGCCTCTGCTACCCACAGCACTGCGTGAGTGTTCCCTTCTCTTTAGGCTTTTTGCCGCTCGTATCGATTGTTGCTTTTATTGGCAGACTGTGTACCAAAGTAAAAATACACACAGGGATTGGTACAGGGAGACAGTGAAGGGCTTTCTGTGTTCTCCACGGCCTGGAGAAGCCTTCCTGGGAGACGCAGGGGTCAAGCTAGTCCGTGTGCTTAGTGTAACTGCAACCAAGGTGAGGCTGTTTGCCATCCATGTCCCGCCCTTCCCAGGGAGGACAGCTGTGGGTGGACAGCTGTGGTCATCCCCACACGCTCAACTCATAGCTGCCGAATGCCATCCAGGGAGGGCTGACCAGGAAGTGGGAAGTGTGACCTCAAGGCCAGGACAGCAGCCACACCTCTGGTTCATTTCCACATGCAGCTGCCTCAGCTGCCCAGTCACCACAATTTGGGGTTAAGGGTATGTTACTGAAAGAGCAGGCAGCAACAGTTATTACTATACAGGCAAAGCCTATTCACAGAGAGTTGTCCTGTCCTGTTCAATGTGTAAGCCGATTGTTCCCACATGCTTAGCCAGGTGGTGCTGTGTTATCCTTCTTTCTGCCATCAAATTAAAAACGAAAACCATAACTAAAACATAAAATCAATCCCGGCATAGTGGTACATACCTGTAAACCCTGCACTTGGGAGGTGAAGAAAGGCAGATCAGGAGTTCAAGGTCAGCCTCAGATTTTGAGTATTCAAAGGCATATTGTGCTTCGTAAGACCTTGTCTCCAACAAAACAAAACAAGCAAAAACAGAAACAAAAAAACCAGTCATTCTTACTGCCACTTACAGACCAGGAACTAGTATTAACGTGGAGATCTGAAGAGCCTAGGATTTGTGCCTAGCTTCAAATTACACTTAATATTGCCAGAAGAATTTAGTATGTGTATGTGTTTACTTGCTTTTTGCCCTGTCTCTCTCCCTCCCCGGGATGTGTTGACTTGCTTTTGCGCCCTCCACCCACCCCTGCTTATTGTCAGTTTTCTGGTTCTAGGTCGTAAACTAAGGTGGGCAAGGATTTTTGGCTTGTTCGTTGACGTGTCGTTAGAGCCTGAAACAAGTATCTGGCACATATTCAATGAAATCTAATCCCTAAATAGAAATGACAGGTGATAAACCTAGGTCAGAGCCTGGTCCCTCGGCGCCTTAGGGGTCGGGTGGTCTGGGGCAGTTCGGGGTAAGTGACCACCTATTTCTGGCCTTGAATCAAGGTCAGCAAAAAAAATCCCAGAAGCGAGGAGGCTGTAATGCCAGCCCGAGCGAGCCCTCAGGTTCCCTTTTCTTTTTCTAAACCAGGAAATGCATTTTTTTCTCCCTGTGCCCGCGGAGACGCACCACCCGCCCCAGAACGGAGCCACAGCGAGCAGGGGACCCGGAAGGAGCAGGACGCGTAGGGCCCGAGAGCCGGTTCCCTAAGGAGGAGCGCGGGAGAGAAGCCGGGCGCCGCGCGGAGGCTGGGCTGGGCGCACCCCCGCCGCGGGCTCCCGCGCTGGCCCCGCGCCGTTCCACCTTAAGCGCGCAGACCTCCTTAAGGCGGGCGCGTGAGCCGCGGGTGAGGGCGGGACCTCGCATGCAAATAAGGGGCGTGGGGCGGCGGGGCGGGGCGGGCGGGGCGCGGCCTGACGTCAGGCCCTCTGCTGGGGCAGTTGGCGCGGCGGCGGCGGAGCGGCAGGAGGGCTGGAGCGGCGGCGCCGAGCGAGGCGCGCGGCGGGGCGCGGGCAGCGGCGGGGCCGGAGCAACATGGCGCCGGGGGGCGGGGGCGGGCGGCGGGACGGCTGGCCGGCCCGAGGGCGCCTCCTCCTGGCCGCGCTGCTGCTGCTGCTGTGGACGCGGGCGGCCAGCGGCCAGAGCAGCCCCCAGCAGAGCGTGATCCTGGGCATGAGGCTGGCGAGCTGCAACAAGTCGTGCGGGATGAACCCGGATGGCATCATCTTCGTGTCCGAGGGCAGCACGGTGAACTTGAGGCTCTACGGCCACAGCCTGGGCGAGGTCTCCAGCAACCTGATCTCCTTCACCGAGGTGGACAACGCCGAGACGGTCCACAACTCCACCAACTGCCTGGAGCTCACCAAGGACCTAGTGGTCCAGCGGCTGGTCAACGTGAGCCGCGGGAACACGTCGGGGATGCTAGTGGTGCTCACCAAGTTCCTGCGGAGGACCGAGAACATGAAGCTGTACGCGCTGTGCACCCGGACCCGGGTCGACGGGCCCTGGCTCAGATGGACGGACAAGGACTCCCTGCTGTTCATGGTGGAGGAGAGCGAGCGGTTTCTGCCGCTCTGGCTGCACATCCTTCTCGTGTTGGTGCTGCTGGTGCTGTCGGGCATATTTTCTGGCCTCAACCTGGGGCTTATGGCCCTGGACCCGATGGAGCTTCGCATCGTGCAGAACTGTGGTACTCAGAAGGAGAAAAGGTACGCCCGCAAGATAGAGCCTATCCGGCGCAAGGGCAACTACCTGCTCTGCTCGCTTCTCCTGGGGAATGTGCTAGTCAACACCTCCCTCACCATCCTTCTGGACAACCTCATCGGGTCTGGCATCATGGCAGTGGCCTCCTCTACCATTGGCATTGTCATCTTCGGGGAGATCATACCTCAAGCCCTGTGCTCCCGGCACGGGCTGGCTGTGGGTGCCAACACTATTGTTCTCACCAAAATCTTTATGCTGCTCACCTTCCCTCTGAGTTACCCCATCAGCAAACTCCTGGACTTCATCTTGGGTCAGGAGATTCGTACTGTTTACAACCGGGAGAAGCTGATGGAGATGTTGAAGGTGACAGAGCCCTATAACGACCTGGTGAAGGAGGAGTTAAATATGATCCAGGGTGCCCTGGAGCTAAGGACCAAAACTGTGGAGGATATCATGACCCAGTTGCACGACTGCTTCATGATCCGTAGTGATGCCATTTTGGACTTCAACACCATGTCAGAGATAATGGAGAGTGGCTATACCCGCATTCCCGTGTTTGAAGACGAGCAGTCCAATATCGTAGACATCCTTTATGTCAAAGACTTGGCTTTCGTGGACCCCGATGACTGCACCCCGCTCAAGACCATCACTCGCTTCTACAACCACCCGGTACATTTTGTTTTCCACGACACCAAGCTGGATGCCATGCTGGAGGAATTCAAGAAGGGTAAGGACTGCTGTAGTTCCTGCTTGAGTTTCCTGACACCTCTTGTTCCCCCGAGGCGTCCGTCCCCTGCATGATTTGTGTCTTCTGTTTGTGTGACTGATCTTGTCTCCCTCTGTCCACCACTTCCTATGCCTCTGAGGTGAACCTTGTGATGTGCAGCAGAAACACTTCTCAAGCCTTTGCCTTCTGCCAGGTACTGTGCTTTGTGTTTAGTTGAATCAAAGCTGAAGGAGACACCCTTGTCTGGAGCTGGGGGAGGGATACAGGGTAAGGCTCATGCCTGTGAAGAGGTGAGGAGACAAACACCAGATTTAGCTTAGGGAGGGGAAGCAGTCTGGGAGCTGAGGGTGTTGTCACAGGGGAGGAAACATTTGAGGGGAATCTTAAAAGATGAAGTGACTTGCGGCAGGGTCACATCCCTCCTGTGAGGAAGCCAAGGATGTGCCCGTGGCTCGGCAGGTGGGCCTGTCTAGTGGACCTTCTGGCTCTGCTGGGTGGTGACCACCAAGGGAGGGGCTGAAGTATTTGCACACCTCTTCCCCCAAGATTGGAGCTCTGGAAGATTTGGGGGCAGGGGAGTACTGTCAGTGGCTCCCAACTCAGAACAATGCCAACTAGCAGTTTCCACTGTTCAGAAGCGAGGAGACCACACTTTGATTATTGTTCCATCTTTCCCAAGAGGCAAACATAAACTTGCCGGGCCCTCACCCCCAATCTTCTCATGGCTTTGCATTGTGTGTGTGTGTTTTCTCTCTGGTGTGTGTGTGTGTGTGTGTGGTGTTTTCTCTTTGCTCGCTCCCAGGTAGGGAGGCATTTAGAGGGTTTACTCCTCTGCTTCCAAGCTCAGGGCACACACCTCTTCCTTATTCCCAACAAAGACTTCCTCCTTCTTCTACTCTGAAACCCTCACAGTGGCTGTAAACAAGGCGATTTATAGAGCAAAGCCCACCTAGACTGGAGGAGGTGAGGAGGTGAGGAGGCAGAAAGGGCAGCTCTTCAAAGAACCTGAGGCTCATCCTGGAGGGACTTGGATTTATAACCCCAGGCCCAACCTTCTTCCCGTTTGTAGAGCTGTTTCTGACAAAGGCTCAGACTGACCTAGGATCCACTTTTGAATCCAAGTTGGGGATAAGCCTGGGGTCATTTCTGAACTGAAAAGTGGTGGATAGTCTTGAAATGGGATGAGGAGAGAAGAGATGACCTTGCCAGATTTAGTCTTGAAAGGTGCTCTGGGTCAGGGTCAAGGCCAAAGGACCGGGTTGGTAACTTACCTTTTAAGTGTTCTAGACAGCTGTCCACGGCAGAGCTAAGAATGTCTTGAGAATGTGAATCAGACAGGAGGTAGTCTGGATGGCATGGAAGGAGGTTTCGTGTTGCCTGTTTTACTCAGGGTCTGAGTGGGGGCCTGGGGGTAGCAGGGAGTTTGTCCCACTTCCATCCTGCAGCTAGGGACCCTGAACATTTCAACATTTCTCTCCAGTGGCTTTGTTAGGAGCCTGGTGAAGAATTGCATGGCAGGTTCCCTTTCACCCAACTCTGTGGTCTTTGACATGGTTTTCTGGTGACGTATATACCTGCCAGTAGCTCCCCAATCAGTGTGGTCAGATCTGGATCCAACTAGTATGGATTGCCTTAATTTGGTGTCCGGGTCCTGATCAGCAGGGCTGAGCTCGTCTGTGGGAGCGTGTTGGGTCTGGGCAGGGCATCTTTGGACTCTACTCTGTCCCGTGAAGAAGTGTCTCTTCACCGAACTGGAAAAACAGAGCTGGCATCTCTTAGGCCAGAGCTCTTCTGGGCTGACCGTCCCTCCCAACACACACAGTTTGGTCCACCAGACTTTCCTTGACAGAGGCCTGTGGCCTAAGTCCAGGCCTTGGAGCGTGGACCCTAGCAGTTCATGGAAAAGCAGGTGCCGTCTACCCTGTGGATCAGGACACTGGAGATGACAGAGTGATACAGCGATCACCCCTTATGAACCCCTGGGCCTTGCGTGGTGCCTCCCTGATGTCTGGAGGACTTAGGAGATCAGTCTTAGTTCTTAAATTACCACAGAGGCATCCTGCCATGTCCATGCCTCCCCCTGGGGGTGGGCTTTCCTGGGGCTTTCCATCTGGTGCCTACCCCTATTCTGAGGCTGCTCAGGATGTGGCAGGCACACCTTGTGTGTACTTAGAACTTCAACACATTCTTTCCAGGTTTAGTGTCGGGAAGGCTTGTTGTTGTTGTTAACCAGGAGCAAGTGCAATTCAGCACCATCAGCATGTCAGACAGAATGATGTATTTTAGGGTCTTTGCTGGACCTTTCACCCGTAAATTGTGTGAGGGCACTGGACCTCACTCCGCCAGAAGCCTTCTGCCTGGCTGTAACTTCTTTCTGTTTGTTTGGCGTTTTGTTTTATTTTGAGTTGGACTCTTGCTTTGTAGCTGAGGCTGGACTTGGCTCCCAAATGCTAGGATTGTAAGTGTGTGTCCTCGAGCCTGGATCTGTAATATATTTTTTAAAACCTGGTTCTTTAATCCACACTCCCCAGCTTTGTAAGTTCCTTGAGCATGAGGCCCTGCCTTACTGGTTTTCACCACTGCAGGCCTGGCTGACAGATAGGTCCTCGGTGAATATTAGTTAGTTGAACGTTAGTTGAACAAATGAATGGATGATTGTCTGCCAGGCTTCTCAGGCTTTCCTGTTCCTTAAACACACCTCGACACTCCCATTCTGGGGCCTTTGCCCTAGAGTTCTCCAAGAAAGTTAGAGTGGCTCCCTTCCCCTCTCTGGCCTCTTCAGCATCCCCGCTGGGAGGCCTTGCTGTTACCCTGTGACCACATCTCACTTGACTTTCCCAGCCCACCACTCTTTGCTCTATTTCCCTTTTCTCATAGCACATCTCACTACCAGCTCTGGGGCTTAGTGGCTGGCTGCGCTGTCCGTCTCCACCCAGTACAATGCAAGATCCAAAGGGCAGGTCTGTGCTCTGATGATCATATCAACGGCTCTGGAATAGCCCCTGGCACATAGTAACTCCTCAATAAAAACTACCTAGTGAATGAATGAGCCAATGACTTGTCAGATTTGGGAGAGAAATAGTCCCATTCTAGAAGCTTTCGAATTTTGAGGTATTTATGAGAAAAAGTGGTAAATGCAGTGCCGGGACATCTTATCAGGAGAGCCAGGAGACCCCTGTAATGACCTGTGTGTGTGGATCCCAGGCATGAAGAGTTTGGGGTTCTGAGTGTGATTTTTGAGTCCCATTGCCAGCTGCCTGCCTTTGCCTGCTGGTAAGCCATCTGTGGCCATGGGAGGTTTTACACAGCCTCCCTCATTAAGATGAGTCATGAAAAGCCCTGCACAGCACAGGGTGTGGGGAGCTGAACTCCCCTAGGATTAAGACAGCGAATCCTGCTTCCTACCTCAAGACAGTTAGCGTCAGATGCCTGTTAGCCTTTCTGCCACATTCAGGACAGGCTGCAAGTGCCCTAGGGAACCTCAGGAGTAAGACTTTGTGTGGCATGAGGACATGCCAGTTAATCAAGGCCACCCAGATTGATGCAGTTTGAACCTTGGCCCTTCTACTAGAACCTCGCCCAGAACTGTTTGCAGTACTGGGTGTTGGGAGTGGGTTTGTCACAGCATGGAATCCTGAAACAAGAAAGCCTAGTGACTCCTAGCCCAATTTACATCTACCTTCCACTTAGATGCTAGAGTCATGAATGCTGCCCCTCCCAACCTTGAGCCCATCCATCTTCCAGTGTCTCCTGTGCCCCTTTCTGGATAGTCCTGCCACTCCCAGGCCCTTAGCTCATCTTTAACCATCTTATCTTTCCCCACCCTCCTTATAACCCTCTGGACCACTGCATAGTGAAGGATATAAACTCCACCCAGACAAAGCTGGGGTTACATTCTACCCAGCTTGGTCACTGACCTATGAGGTGACCTTGAGCCTATTACTGCTCCTCTCAGCAAGTTAGCAGGGTATAATTTGGAGAAGAAAGCAAGCTAGAAGTATTTTTGTTTAAAAAAAAAATCCCTCCCATATTTCCGTCCGTGCCACGTCAGATTTTTCCATCTACTCAACTTTATTCCCAGAACAACCATAACGACAAGAAAAAAGAAAACACTGCATGGGTTTTGCATTCACTTTTGCTTCCTGTTGTCTGACACCCCTTCTCCCCCTACCCACCACAACTACTTGTTCATGCATTTGTTCAATAAACATGTAACTTTTTGTAGCCTGTGTGTCAGACACAGTGCTGACCGCGTTGGGTGTCAGAGATGTGTAAAGCCGTCTATTCACACAGCTCACAGTCTTCCTGGGAGACAGACATGTAACCAAAGCTTGGTTGTCCAAAGGCACACACAGGGCAGGCAGGGCCGAGGCTGAGGGGGGCGAATGTTCCTGTGTCTGAGGTATCTGCCTTGTGACTTGGGGATGATAATGCATTTTAGCTATGGTAGGGGAAGGAGAAGGAAGAGTCAGCTTGGTGGGAATGGAGCAGAGGGAAGTAAAAAGAACTCTCCCCGATACCAGCTCCTTTGTTCAGCACTGTAAACATCAGAGTCTCTTTGCCTGAGGTCTTCTGACCACCCAGACTTTTTATTGGAAATTAACATTTCCCTTTTCAAGTGATTTCGTGTGTGTGTGTGTGTGTGTGTGTGTGTGTGTGTGTGTGTGTGTGCACTGTAACTTTTAGGAATTAGTCCTTTCATTCTCTCATGGGTCCCAAGGCCCAAACAAATGCTTTTAGCCCAGACGTCACCACACTGGACTGGTTTTGTTTTCTTGAGACAGTGTCTTACATTGTATGTAGCCAAGCTGGCTGTTAATGTAGCCTACCTTCCTTGAACTCACAATGATCCTCCTGCCTCAGCCCTCTAGGTGCTGGGATTATAGGCATGATTTACCGTGCCTAACAGTCTGCATTTCTGACAAGGTCCCAGACAGTGCTTCTGTGGACAGACCTAACCCACACTACTGTGTGGGCCATCTAGGCATCTCTGCAGGTGA